GCCGTGAGACTGGGTTGAGTCTGAGTGTAAAAAAGACAAGACTGGGGAACAACAAATAGTGCTGCATATAATTGAACAGTGGCGAGCCGTCAGGGCCCTCTAGGCCCTCTGTGAGGGCCTAAGATATTCCAAAAAATAATATTTAAAAACATTAAAAAAAAATATATTTTTTTTAAATATATATTTTTTTAATATTATTTTTGTTATATTTTTCATTAGTTTTACCGAAAAAAAACTTGATTTAATAAAATAACATTTCCAAAGAAATAAATCCTTCGAATCTGCCTGTTCAGTCTCTGTTTGAATGTCAGTTACTATAGCGGGCCTCTCTGCGATTCACAGAGGGCCCGCTATAGTAACTGAACGAGAGAGTAATGTCAAATGACAGTACAATTGACCAATCATATCTTCCCTCTAAATGGGTGGGTTTTATTATCGCGGACTTTATGACGAGTTCCGCCCGCTGTGAAACTTTTCTTGTTTCCATAGCAACAACAACTTCCTGTCAACAGCGTGAACTCGCCTTCAAAATAAAAGCATGCCAAATTACACTTTTTATTTTTTATTTAACCTTTATTTAACCAGATAAAAAACATTGAGATAAAATCTCATTTTACAATAAAACAAAACTACAAAAATAAACAAGAATAGAAAGAAAAATAAAATAAAATAGATGTTAACAAGTGTGTTCTAATTTTTTAATTAAGATTAAAACCAGCCACACATAATCAATGTTTCCTCATATCAAAGTTGGTATGATGTTTTAAAAAAGTTACGTTGGTTTTTCCTATGCATCTTTCGCTACACGTGTCAGTTTCTGCCACAGGCTAACAATATTTTTAACTGAAGTTGGTACATGGTTAGGTTAAGGAAAATATGTTAGACTATCTATTATATGTAGACTACATTATGTTGATATTAACCTGACATTTCAAGGTAACTAAAGTAATCAAATATATGTAGTGGAGTAAAAATAGTGTGCCCTTTAGTGGAGTAGAAGTATGAAGTAGCAGGAAAGGAAAATAATAAAATGATGTAAAAGTACCTCTAAATTGTATTTAATTACATTACTTGAGTAAATGTACTTTCCTACACTGCATATTCTTACTGTCTTTTGTAGCATAAAAGTAATATTAATTGTAGGGATAAGTATTACAAAGCTTGGTACCCCAATACAGTGTTTGGTTGTTTTGAGTTCACAATGAGTCATGCAATGTTTTCAGTCATTTGGTCATCTTATTATCAAAGCAGTGTGCTCCAGCAATATGAAATGTGCCACAAAATGATCCTCTTCCTGTCAGCTCCTACTGCTGTCACCTTTGATATGTGTGGATCCTCTGAGAGCAGCAGCACAGACTGCCAGGGCAGGCAGGGTTTCTTTACAAATGTACAATTACTCGTTACCTGTAAATATTTAGCTTGAGTGTATTACGGAAGACAATGGTACAATGTGACCTAAGAAAAGAAGAACTGAAGATATTAAGTATCAGAATTGTGTCTTCTATTCAGAGATTTTATTTATAGGAAAACTTACCTTTCAGTCAGCATATTCAGGCAGTAGACTATACACCAACAATGAAGCATATGAGCACATAGAACAGTTTAAAAAGCAGAAATAAAATCTGAGCTGACAGAAAATGCTCTGTTTTGGTTTTATAAATACTGTTAAATTCACACATACTATATTATGAACATATAGGTTACCCTACTGAATAAAACAAATAACAAATGAACCAAAGAAAGTAAAAACCATAAAGCAAACTGCTGTTTTAGAGTCTCGAACCGCGGCTAAGAATGCAAGTCCTGCGCATAAGCTATCACTATAGCAAGCTATAACCCTCTTTTTTTTATGTTAACAGTTTGTGCAGCAAAACCATGGGCAAGGCGGGGAGTAAAGTCCTGAGAGAGACCTCAGAGGACGGGGTTCCAGACCAGGTAAAAGCCCAGCACCTTTCACACACACACACAAGCCACAGTCAAACCCACACAGACACACACAAGCAGGATGTACAATGTATTCAATTGAAAACACATTAAACTGCGTGGATGATGAGTGTGTGTGGGTGTGTGTGCCAGCTGCTGTGCTCTCCAGATATCACTGGTTATGCAATCAGGATCAGCCACAGCTTGCATTCACACTTGATTTTCCCACATCGCAACATGATATCCATAATCATCAAAATGCATTCCCGAGCTTTGGAGGGACCATTAATATCTTGTGATTAAGCAAAGTGAAAGAACGATCAGGATGTACCTTTTGATGGATATAAATGCTATCTATTGCCAAGATTATCTAGAGAGGGTTTAATTTAATATATTTAAGCTTCCCACTAGAAGTAAATAGAAATACAAATATTATATTCAATAAGTTTAATATCATTTTAAATCCTGATAGTCATGGCATAATTTAATTGAAAGAACATTTATGGATTACATGACCAGATTCCCTCCTGCTCTGTCTTTTTGTGGCGAAACAAAATATTTCTTTTAATCTTATATCCACAAAACAGGACTTAGTCAAGTGAATTCAATGAAATTAAAGTGGACCTATCATGCTATATTTGAATAATATAGTATAGGACCATACCTATATAAGGCATATTTATACCTTTTTTTTTTCAAAATACCAAACAGATCATGCATTTTAGCCATGCCTCATTTTGCTCAATTTGACATTTTTAAGCTCTGTTTTTGCAAGGGCTGATTCTGTGAGAACAGCACCATCTACAGGTCTGGCATATGTACTACAGCGTCTCCATCGCTTTCGAACGGCAATGGCCGTGGCTGTCTCCTCCTGATTGGTGGAGTTGGCCCAATAGCCGTAGCGCCACTGTTCTGACGTCAGGACAGTGTTCAAATCTGGATCAGTTTTGATCAGATCCGTTGCAACCCCTTTTTTAGAGATTTGGGTATGGAGGAAAATAGAGAGGGTTGTGTTTTCTGACACTTGGTGAGTTCCCTGGAACACCGGGGACACATATTCATGTATAAAAGACGTACAAAAGTGCATTTTGCATGATAATAATAGCTTGCATTTATATAGCGCCTTTCAAGGGACCCAAGGTCGCTTTACAGTAATAGGGCAAAAACAAACATAACAAAACAAAAGTCAGACAGACAAAACAACAGATCGATTAGGGGCCGAAAGCCTTGGCAAACAGATGGGACTTGAGGGCCCTTTTGAAGGCGTCGAGTGTGGGGATGTTGCGAATCTCCGCAGGGAGAGCGTTCCAGAGGGTGGGGGCTGCCACACTGAAGGCTCTGTCCCCGAAGGTTCGCAGTTTGGTGCGGGGGGTGGTAAGCAGGCCAGAGTCTGAGGACCGCAAGTTCCGGGGTGGGGCATGTGGGTGAAGGATGTCCGATAGGTACTGGGGGGCAAGGGCATGGAGGGACTTGTAGGTAAGGAGGAGTACTTTGTAAGATATACAGGACTTGACCGGCAACCAGTGGAGGTGGATGAGGGTGGGAGTAATGTGCTGCCACGGCTTTGTGTGTGTGAGTACCCTAGCAGCACAGTTTTGGACATACTGGAGCCTGTCCAGGTTTTTTTTGGGAACCCCGAACAGGACACCATTGCAGTAGTCCAAGCGGGTGGTGACAAATGCATGTACTAGGGTTTTCGGCAACCGACTCCGAGATGATAGGTCCCCTTTAAGTTAAATTCACCTCACTTCAATATATATCCTTTTAAAGTGTTCCTGCTCATGTACCTAGTTCATTCACCTTAAGCCTGTCCACTTCTTTTCTCACCTTAAATCTGAATTTTGAGACTGTCATGCTTTGTGTGATTTCACTATTGGCTGCCACTAATTTACACTGACTTATATATGACTTACACATGAATTGGTAGTCAAAGAATATTTGCAGCTCTGAGGACCACAAACACAGTGTTTATGTTCTGTCAACTCTTCCTTTTTGTATAGTAAAAGACCTTTCTCGCATTTTCTTAAAGTAAACATACACATTGTTTGCTAGTGAGCAGAATACTGTTCTTGCTCTGCCTGTGTTTCTAAATTTAAAATGTCACCAAACCACACGCTCTTGGACTCTCTTGTATTTTTGTGCACTCTGTAGGCAGCAGTGGCCAAATAAGTTGTTGACAGCACTACAACACATCCTCTGTCATTTTCTAAATCACCATCAACATCACAAAGTGTCTGTCTCCCAGTTGATCCAAATTTGCTGCACCCAAGTGACCTCGTTGAGTTTTCAGCTCATTCAGATGCTAAAAGGCGCACCGTGTCACCCCATTTGGACCTGTGTTGACTGAGTGGGTGCCATCTTTGTCGGCTTGTGTGCCTCGGTGGCCGGCTCCACAAGGCTAAGGCTGGACTGAAGTGAATTGATTCACAGGGATTAGGGATTAAGACTTCCCCCCGCCGCTTTGGTTGAGTAAATCTGGGGATTATGATGTCAACAGCCTGTGGCTGCAGCAGAGGAAATTGAATTGTGAGGAACGGGAGTGCCAACGGCCCAGGATTACAGCACAGTCAGTGAGAAATCAGAGATGGGAGTTCATGTCTGTGCCTTTCTCCTGCTCAGGAAAACTTCTGTGGGACACCATTTACTGCCTTTGGGGAGTACGACACACTTACATGGTAGAATTTACTATGAGTAGATGTTGAGGATGGTAATTGTGTGATAAAGAAGATCTCTGTGTCACTGGTAATCCAGTACTTCCTGCTCTGGCCTTTGAAGCATCAGGTGGTAAGTACCGCTAAGAGCTACAGGGATCACTTGTTCAAAGGGAACTAGGCGATAAGGATCTAATGACTTTTACAACTAAACTAACTCATAGCATGGAGGACAATTTAGGGAACATTTATCGTGTATAATCTGCATTTTTTTCTTCTAACATTCTCTCATGTGTTGTTGTGTGTTTGTGTTCCCATCTCTCTGTATTCCAGCCTCCCCCTCCTCCTCCTGCTGACCCTGACCCCGACCCTGTCCCTGTCCCTGTCCCTGTCCCTGCTCCTGCTTCTGTTAAATTTGAAGGACTCACTAAAACAAACAAGATGACGGTGAAATGGAGCGATCTGGGTTTGGCCTTCTTCATCGTGCTGTCCCTGGTGATGACAGGATGCTTCTTCTGGCAATATCAGATGCCAAAACTTCTGCCAGGTGAGGCACTGTAATTAGTAACAGGATGTGTGAGAGGAATTTCTTAAAGCTGAGAAATCGTTATCTTAACTCATCTTTAAACATCAAATGATCCTTTGAGGTGCTGCATTAGTCTGAAAAGCAAAAGATCATTTTAAATTAGTTTCCATTTCATGATTTCTTATTCTGGTAGAAGAAAGTCTGTGAAACATTGAACCTATATCGCTCAATAACTTAACACAATATCCTAATTATGACATTTAACGCTAAATCGTAGTTTGCAGCTTTGCTAATTCTTAACTAATCCGGCAACAACCCACAACCTTAGTTAGTATATTGAAAATCAACAGATTATTCTCTCATAATTATGGAGATAAACACTTTGTAATTAGGACATTAAACAATCTCCTTTATTATATTATCACACAGTTGAAAGTGTGAAGAATTGCAGAGGCATTGTCAAATTAAAACATACAGAAAGGGGATCATCTCTCAGACTGCATGGGTTTTGTTTTAAAGAGGCCCTATATGCTTTTGTGGTTTTACCCTTTCCTGTAGTGTCTTCACGCCAGAGGGAGTTTGTAAGACACACTTCTATTTACTCGTGCTCCATAACATTGAATGTGATAAGGGCGAAGGGGCGGGACATCTCAAAGTGGTTGACCAATCACAACAGAGCCGACCAGTTAACCAATCAGAGCCGACTGGGCTCTGGTTTCGGACAGAGGGTGAAAAGAGGTGCTGCAGCACAGGCAGTATGAGAAAATATGAATACCTTTTTGAACATTAAAGCTTGTAAACATAAAATACAAAAATACATCTATGAACTTAAAAGTTAGCAAAATATGTCCTCTTTAAAATGTAGGTTTCAATTATATTTAAAAGGTTTTGATTGTAGTCCCTTTAATCCATAATCAGTCCAACACAGCACCAGAATCTGTCACGTAGTGTTGCTTTAGTTCATTAGTTTGTTTTAATTATGGTAAAACTTAATTAAAGCGCCTGATCAGACTCTTTAATACAATTAATTCAGAGCAAAAACACTCCTCTAAAGTACAGTCCAGTTTTATAATCTCCATGACTGTGTATGATTAGTAAGGTAACATGAGGTTATGATTTTCTGACGTACCGCCAAGGGATCTTTTTTATTCCAAATAACAATTTCACATGTGCTTTAGAATGAGAATGCAAATGGTGGCCTTAAGCAACAATGAAACATATTTAAATATTATACATTCATCCAGAATTCACACTGGGATCTGGCAGCGTCTTTTGAAATCTGCAGGTTAATAAATAAATAAATCCTGTCAAATTGTATGGTGAAAGATCAACGGGGTTCATCAGGAGGCGGGGAGAATAATGAACTCACCCACTAGCCAGTCAAAGCCTAATGCATGTGTTGGCCTTTGTTCAGCTGATACATTATTCTATCAAATGTCAAGTGGGAAATACAAAAGCCTGTCCCGCTGTTATTCATTCGCTCTTTCTTTCTCCCTTTTCATTTTCTCATTTCCCACCCACCGCCTAGATGAAGGGAGGGGTCGCAATGCCGAGTCAGAGATGATGTGTCCTCGCTTCCCCGAGCCTCTCCAGCTGGAGCATCCTATCCCTAGCCTGAAGGAGGCTCTGGAAAAGGTGAGAGGAGTTGTTCGTCATGCTCAGAACTATAACTGATGTTGGATTTCTGTCATGCCCACTCAAATCTGGGGGAATTTACAGGCTGACCGCCGTAATCCTTCACACCAAATGCTGCTGCAGTTGACAGAAGGAGATTAAATATATATACTGTGAGGAATGATTAAAAGTCAGTCAAATCTCTGCAACCAAACAGTTTCAGACAAACTGCAAATAAATATCAAGCTTATGAATTTGATATAAGATATGCTCACTTCAGCCTTGAAAGCAAAAATAATCTTTAAATCTAATCTTGAATACGCTTTAAAGAATTAATTATGTTTCGCCTGCAGGTTTCACACCCCGACAAAAAGTGCTGGTTTTCCAGAATAGCAATATCATTTATATGATGTGCTCATTAAACTAATATGTTTGGCATAGTGCGACATCAAAGTAATTGCTTTGGGGTTTCATGTTGCTGGTAATAAAAGTGCACAGAACAAAGTATAAAAAAAGGGTTCCCAAGATAAATCCAGCGCTGCTACACATTCATTTATTACCTCATCTTGCCTTTTTTGCGAAGAATTTGATACTTTTATCCCTTTAGATACCAGAGCAATTTGTTTAATGAGATCATCTGATAAGTTGGACGTGACTTGCTCTCCGAGGGAAGTAAGTCACCTGAAACCAGACAGAGGACCCTAAGCCCATACTGGTTTATTGTGAGGAGTAACACAAGTGTCAGTTGTCAATGGACTGATCTTTTCTTTTGCCTTTTTAAGTGAAAGCATTGAAGACCTGTAGTCTTCTCCTATTGGCCGGCGTTGACGGGGGCGTGTCCAATGCAAATCCTGTCGGTTTCTGCTGCTAAATTACATCACTCTGATGTCTGTGGTCATCTAAACATTCCCTAATAAACCTCATTCCAGCGTCAATAAATGAGTGTTAAACTCAGGGTGTTTAGTGTACAACATCACATTATTTCACCTTCAATTCACGGTTTGAAAACGTAGCATTTCGCCACAAGCTAATGCTAACCGGAAATGACGAAATTCACCAGCGGAAAAACCGGAAGTCACATGTGAATCTTCGGTTTTCAGAATAAAACAGATTTAAATGAAATACAGATGGAGCCTCTTATTTTGGACCCCAGCATACAGCTTCCTGCCGACTGCCAGCCAGTTGCCTGCCAAAGACCAGTATTCAGGAATGTTAGGCCCTCCCACTATTCTCCAATTTCAGGGTTTAACCAGGAGATGGCGCTATATATTAAATAACTAAGACTTAGTTTTTCACAATAGAAAATGCAGATATTATATAAAAAACTAAAGTTAAAATCTTGTTTTTAATGCCCCAAGAGCAATAACATCTTGTCACAAGCTTTTTGGAAGAAAAAGACTGACTCAAGAGACCTGTAGTTGACTAATTACAGGCCTCAATAAAGTTCTGCCATTGGTTGTGAAAAACAACGGTGGACATAGTGGAAAGTGAAATTGACATTGTCGAATTTAATAAAAATACAAAATAATGTATCTGTGTACGTGTTTTACTATGTGATCTGCACTTATCAAACATCTAATTAAGGCGAGACACCCCAGGTGAATAGGGTATTTTTAACTTAAAGATATCAGCTAAATATTTCTCCAGTTAATTACTTACAATAAGGCAATTGTTTTTTGTATTACAAGTTTTCTGAAATAGCATGTTTAAATATCCAAATGAACCATTATCTCATGAAATATGCGCATATTTTAACACATTTCAGGAACCGAAATCTGAACTTTGGATAAAGCCAGGATCAAAATTATTGTTTCATTTTGTAGTCATATTAGTATCTAAGGCTTTTACAGAAGGGATTTTGGATATCTCTTTTTATCACTCCATAAATCAGAAAATACTGTCAACAGCCCTAAAATATCAATTTTCACCATGTTTTTAGGTATAAAATGTTATATAATTCAGGCTATGAATTATATATGACCAAACCCTTCTGTAAAAGCCTTCATAATATTGATAGGAATATAACTGGAAGGTTTGGTGTATTTAACTGCTGAGTGATTCTACAATTTAGGGTACATTCCATGTCCATTGATGTCCATTGATGATAATTATAATTATTCTAACTATTTTCTTCAAAAATATCATATTTTGCCTATTATTGGAAAGCATGTTATAATATCACACAAACATTATGTGCATCCTATGCTTTATTTAGCTTGAAATGTGTCATGATGTTCTTAAATTGTCAGTTTTTGCTATGTCCGTTTTTCAGTTGAGGGTGTCTTGGTTTCAAAATAATGAATAAAAACCATTAAAGTAAATTTAAAAAATGATTCATTTATTTCAAAAGTCTAAATACTAAAGAATAATAACATATTTTTAATTGATTTCCCCCTTTAAATAATTTAAATATCTTAATATATGAATGTCCGCAAAAGTTCTGTCAACTATGTTACTAACAGAACTTCCCCCTTTAACTCAAAAATTGTTTGTCCCAATACCATGTCACCAGCATCACATGATGCCATGTTCCTCTTTGGCAGACATTTTGAACACACTGTGGTGATTGTCCTCTACATTTTTACAATATTTTATGTATAATAGCACATGGTCAATTAATATACTCATTGACAATCAACAATGTTACGTACATTGTTATGGTTTACAATTGTTTAATGATTTTAATTCAATTATATGTGCAAATGTGATGTTAACCTGTTCAAGAAAATGACATGTGGTCATCCAGGCAAGGCCTACCATTGAAATGATGGGTCAAAATAGGGAAATTGTCAACTAGGTTACCTGTCAACTGAGTTACCCAGTACTGTAATAACTGTAGTAACTTAGTTGACAGGTAACCTAGTTGACAATTTGTACGACATGTAGACGTCATTACACATCATTATCAATGGAATTTTGCACTTCTGCCTTGAAATTAACATAGTGCTGATGGTTAATAATGTGTCCAGTCAACTATGTTATTTGCGTCAAATGTTTGACTTTCATTGTCAACTATGTTGCACCTCATTTTTTCAAATTTAAAATATCTAAAATAGTGCTTCTGATATCCTTTATAGTATAATGTATATCTACACAGGTTGGAGTTTTACATGACATCTCTTAAAACTATCAAAATGACCTGTATGGTAGTTTTATAATACAAAATATCCCTAAACTTAATGACAGTGCTGAACATATCACATGAAAAAACAAAACTTTAATACAATTATTTTTTAAACTTTAAAAAATCTTTGGATATATGGTAGAATAGACTCAAGAGCCTTTCAAATTTGATTTTACTTGAAGTGCAGGACTTAATCAAATGATTGTAATGACATCAAGTTTGTCCGTAACATAGTTGACAAACTGAGTAGTGAAAACATCCTTTCCCTTAAAATAAAAAAATATATAAAAATGTTTAAGCTTTGCAACTAGTGGATATGTTACACTGAGGAATATACTAACTTGAACCACTGATTGTTCTATCTATACATTTTATTTGGCATTAGTAAATAATTATGCACATTTACAGATATTTTACATGATATGAGTGATAACACGTGTTATAAGGGCTATTTCGCACAATAGGTGTGCCTTGAGATTTTTACTTGTCCTTTGGTGTGCCTTGGGCACAAAAAGTTTGGGAACCACTGCTGTAGAGAAATGTAAACGTTCACCATCCCCCACCCGCCTACTGTATGTTGCTTTTTGACATGTAAATGGGTAACTACCCCCCTCTGAGTGAATACCTGTTGTACCTGTCCGGGGCTAAGCCCATAGGACGATGCTCTGATGTCATCACCCTCGCACATTGGTCATATGTTTACAAAAAACGATGTTAACACTTTCTCGTTCTTAATATATGCTATATTTAGGGTCGATATGTGTTGAATTTACTTTAAAATAGCAGATCACTGTGATTCACTTCTCCGCGGCTCCTCCGTGCAGAGAGGCCCCCCCCCCGTTGACAATTCACGAGCGTCTAACTCTCTCCCCCCTGTGAAGAGATATCACAGGGGGGGGTTGGGACACACACATTCCGATGGCCAATTCGTTTTAAACAAAGAGTGGGGTGGGGGCTGGTGAACGGTATGGTCAATGTTTGTAAACACTGTGACATTTTGACTTTATTTGATCATTTCAGTTAAAAACTAACGTTCATATTTCATATTACTGTTTTGCCTGGCTGGACCTGTAATTTACAGGAAAGGAGTGCACGCTACTAAAGAGACACGCTACCATGGAAACCAAACAATGGTGTTGCTGTATTGAAGTCCGAGTGGAAACAGTCATATTTGGAGCGTTATGTTAGAATGAAACAGCGAGGTCGTGACTCACAAAAAAAAAGTGTTACTTCACTAACTGTAAGCTTGTCACTCAGAGTAACCTACAGTTAACTTAACTGTTGGAAAAGAAAGATCAGAGTTAGGAGTGTGAACACACAGCTGAGAGCTGCCGTTTCATTCTGACTGTTTAAAAAACGGTAACAACGGACTATTTTTCTTAGCGGATGCATGTAAATTTAAATCAATACATAGAACTATGTTTTAAATCAATAAAAATATTTTCTAAATCCATAAAAGCATTTTAATTAATATTGGGAGTCATGTCGTTACTTTGTTGAGAATGTGGCCATGTAATAAGCGGGGTAATTTGCAGCGACTTGGTCATTATGGGGAAAAATAACACCCAGGGATCAGTAATTTTTAGTGAATTACTGAGTTTAGGCACGTTAATAACATTTTAATGAAGTTGAATACAGTATATTCATATTTGTCAGTGATTTCATGTCAATTCGGCGAACATAAATGATTAAATTAGGATTAAAAATCGAGAGCCGGCTGCTGTTCGTTACGGTAACCCAACTAGGACACTTGACACAGTGGCTTTTGGCAAAGCACACAAAGAAAACAAAAAAAACCGAGAGAGATGAGTTATTGTTATTACAACGTGACTTCACTATTATTTAACAACTATTTTTATTGGGTTCTTTTATTTGGGGTTATGTACATTGTCAGAAT